TTACCTGTTTCTTGCAGGTAGGTGGAGCTGACCCAATTATTGATGCAGCACACCTGAGAGGCCAGTCCCAGTGTATATAAAGACACCTTGACTGAACCAGCTAGAGAGGCTGGCTCTGGATCTCTCTGTCTGCCACTCATCATGTTCTTTTGGAAGTTTCAGTTATGGCTGTTATGTCCTTTACATTGTCTTTAAGTTGTTTTACCTTATTTTCATTAAATATGTGTTACAGCCTTTAAAAGCCTGTGTGTGGTCTCCCATTTGTTTGTCACTTCCTATGAGCCGGGTTGTGACACATCATTGGTCATCCTTCGCCCGTGCCTTTGCCACGCAGGGAGTAGTCTGTAGAAGAGTAGTTCAAGCAGACCGTGGCAACGTTCTAGAACAAGACCCAGCTAGCATCACAAAACAAAGAAAACCAGCAGAGACTCTATCATAGCACCTGCTTTTGACATAACCCATATCTCCTGGCAAAAGGAGCTAAGAGCAGTTCAGAAATGCCTGGAAGTACAAATAAGTGGGCTGCTGACAGCAGGTACTCATCCAGAATGGCTAACACAGTGCAGAATGCTCCTAATCATGAAGGATCCCCACAGTGGCACAGCGCCATCAAACAAATACCAATTGGCTGCCTCTCCATGACATGGAAGCTCCTTTCACATGAGCACAGCTGAGAAGGGCATCATGAATAAAACCTGATGTGTGTATTTAAAGTTATATCAGCATGCCAATTAATTACGCACTAAATGATTAGTCAACATTTTCAGCGTTGTCAGATATTATAATCTGACTATGATGTGAGTGAAAAGAAAGAAAATAATTGTAACAATGGTTGACTTTGCTCATTGAGACAGCTCAGAAATACTAATGATCTGAAAGCATGATGACATTTAGCAGGCTTGATTTTTCACATTTTTTCATTATTAGCTCTGAATCATATTGGTCATTTTCTAAAAGAATAAAAGAATCACTTAATCTGACCTGATAATTGTAGAGTTTGAAGTCTTCAGCATCTTTACTCCTGAAAAATTCAGACTGTTGTTACTCAGGTCCAGTGCTCTCAGACTACAGAACTGAGAGGTGAGAACTGAGGACAGAGTTTCACAGCTTCTCTCTGAGAGTTTACAGCCACTCAGTCTGAAAAATTGTGAACACAGACAAATAATACTGGTGTTAAAGTGCAGTGAGTAGTTACTAGATTTGGTAAAATGGAATTTTCTTTATGGCTTGACTCCTCACTTGATTATTTACATTAGTAAGTATTTCAGCTAAGTTAGATATTTATTTAAAAAGCTTTACCAAAAGCACACAGAAAAAAATGAAACACATAAATGGAGCTCAATTTTTTAGTGATTTTTTTTCTTAATCATAGAACAAATTTAAATATCACTTGACCTGACCTGAGCATTTCTAGTTTACAGTGTGGACTCTTCACTCCATCAGAGAGAAGCTTCACTCCTGAATCTTGTAGGTTGTTGTTACTCAGGTCCAGCTCTCTCAGACTGGAGGACTGGGAGCTGAGAACTGAGGACAGA